TCCAGGAATCCAGACTGAGACCTGAGCTGTAAAGGAAACACGAGTCCTGAATCATCATCAGAAGCACATCTAAATCCTCATCATCATCCTCATCCTCATGACTGCTGTTGATCTGCTATAGGCCTTTCTCCTGATGGAACAGGAATATGAGGCAGGAAGCTGATTAAGGCGATGCTCTCAGTGAAATGTTAGTTCTTTGAGTCTTTAAACTTCTTCATGAGTCCAAATGATCATTTTAATGCCCGAAATCATGAGGATATTAAAGATGAGGCGCACACTGACTTCATCACTCATCATCAGTCTGTTTATTCAGCTGATGTCGGTCATGTCATGATCTAATCAGCTGATGTTGATATGATCACTGCGCAGTGCAGTGTGTAAACTCCGGTTATCAGCAGAGATATGATGATGAGAGAGCTGCTGTTTAGGTGGATCTGATTGGGTGTGTGTGTGTGTGTGTGTGTCCATCAGGGCGAGAGCGATCGGTTACCGGCAGCACAACCGTGAGGCCGTCGGTGGATTCTTCTCTCAGATCGGCGACCTCTACATGGTCCATCATCTGTGGGGTAAGAGTGTGTGTGTGTGTTGACCGCCTGCATGTTCACACACGTCTCTACAGCAGGGCTGGCGTGCTGATTTCCAATAATCAGAGGTCTGTTATTACCCTATTAGAGCGACCATTCACTCATTTCAGCTTAGTGCCTTTATTAATCAGGGGTCACCAGAGCGGAATGAACCGCCAACTATTCCAGCATATGTTTTACACAGCGGATGCGCTTCCAGCTGCAACCCATCACTGGGAAACACCCATACACACTCATTCACACACACTCATACACTACGGCCAGTGTAGTTGATCAGTTCCCCTATAGTGCATGTGTTTGGACTGTGGGGGAAACCGGAGCACCCGGAGGAAACCCATGCCAACACGGGGAGAACATGCAAACTCCACACAGAAACACCAACTGACCCAGCCGGGACTCGAACCAGCAACTAGAGTGCTGTGAGGCGATTGTGCTACCCACTGTGCAGCCTTTCAGCGACTCTATTTGTCCATGACCTCCAGCAGATGAGGACAGTATTTATGATAGGCTTATAATACATGTTTTACTCTATACATTTGTGTGTGTGTGTGTGTGTGTGTGTTTCAGCGTATAAGGACCTGCAGTCCAGAGAGGACACAAGGAACGCCGCCTGGCAGCACGAGGGCTGGGATGAAGTCGTCTATTACACTGGTAAACACAGCTGCATACAGAACACTGACAGCCAATCAGAAGCCTCGACAGCCAGGCCGTACACCGCACAGCATGTTTAGGAGAACCCTGCAGCTGTACTCTGAGGCCCTGTTTACACTAATGTGTTTTAGTTTGAAAACGTGTAAGTTTTGCTACGGTTACGCCATCCGTCCACACTACACTGGAGTTTACGAGCGATGAAAAATGGAAACGCTGGAGAGGCCGTGTTCATTCTGAAGCGCTGCTGCTGCGTCTCAGTGTGGATGAGGGAAAACGGAGACATCTGAACACGGAGGCGGAGCTGCTGAGATTCAATAGCTGATTGGAGCTTTTGTGTCATTGCGTATCCTTCCCTCATTCGTCAAGCCCCTATCACATGACTATAACACATGGCTTTAACGCTAGCGGGAGACAGCAGACCAGCCTTCACTGTAAACAACAGCATGGACACAGAAATGGCAGCGTTGTTTGCACTATTGTCTGTTTTAGGCGTCATTGTGCAGTTATTCATCTGTTATGTTTAGTAACTCCACCTCGTCGTGTCCACAAACAGACCTCTCTTGCCTTGTTCGCCATCGCGTTCATTGTTCAACCGGCGTTTGTTGACTAACAATAACCAAATGCCGAGCGAGACACATGCTTCCTGTTTATACTAGAACACACATGCACAGAGTACGCAAGTGGTCACATGATATACGTTATTGGTGGCGTAGTGTGGACGGAGATATGTTCAGAAGCGCTAGTGTGGATGCGGATCGTTTTTGATCTAAAACGTCGTGTTAAACTAAAACCCATAGTGTAAACCGGGCCTGGGTCAGCCTCCTCCTGGTGTGATGTGCCGGTCTCCCTCTTACTCAGTTGTCGGTGACTCTATGGTTGCATTAACCCTGCACGGTTCAGGTGACCCAAATCTGACTCTCTTCTCCAGTCATGTGCACAGATAAGCTCAAGAGTCGTCTGATTGGTCAATCACGTGTTAGCTAATGCAGGACCGGCTGTGGTCAATCATGATGGCGTGCTCCTCCTGACATGAGTCTAATAATAATCCCCTCATCATGTGCAGATCAGTCCTGTAGTCCACTCTCTCTTTTCTTGGAGACTCAGTGGTTTTCAGCACAGGCAGATGCACCCCAGCTGCACGTGTTCACACACACACACACACACACACAATAGGAGCTCTTAAACACACACACACGAGTGTCTGATTGGTGTATCTGTTGTTGTGTGCAGTGCCGCTGATTCAGCACATGGAGTCCAGGATCATGATCCCACTGAAGAACTCTCCACTGAAGTAACACACACACACACACAGCGCTGCTGCGTCCCCGTCAGATGAAGACAGACAGCAGACCCTCCACTGCCGAGATCATTCGGATCAACACACACACACACACACACACATACACACACGCACAGCTGACGCTGCAGACAGGACAAACACAGCCACTCATCAGTCAAATAAAGTTCAGCTGCACGGTTTAGAGGAGGAGAACATGACGGAGCGCTCTCGAACACCGCCGGCAGCCGTCAGTCTGTATTTATTGCATATTTATTAGCTGTACATGTACACCACACAGATCTGAGGTCAGATGAGCCGCGCTGCAGACGTCTGCTTTACAGTTACTGCATTGGATTTCTCTTGTGTTCTACATAGATGTGTGTTTGATATGATTCTGCTCTGATTATTGATGATGTTTTCTGTATGTGTGTGTGTGAGACGGCCGCATGCACACACACTCTACATTACGCCGCTCATCTGTTAATCAATAAACAACATCTCCATATTAAAATCAGCTCCGTGTGCTGCTGCGTTTATTACATACAGCATCCTGAGAAACTAAAACACGTGAGGATTAAAAGTGTGTGTTACTGAGGCTAGTAAAGGCACGGTGTGTGTGTGTGTGTGTGTGTGTGTGTGTGTGTGTGTGTGTTCAGATCTTGTCCAGTTCTTTACTGAGCTCAGAGAAGCTGCTGACGTACCATGAGCTCTTCTCCTTCACCTGCGGGCGCAGCACATTCCCTCCGAACCCGATGAAGGCGCTCTGAAACACACAACACAACAACATTGGAGATCTCACACACACACACACACACACACACACCTTGTGCAAATCTGTAGTTTGATCCGGGATTCTCCACGTCAGAGTTCAGACTGTAATGAAGATGTCAGACTACAGAGATAAACTTGAGGACTTTTACTTGCCCCATTAAGCAAATCTAATCACTTGAATAATACTCGATATGTCAAACCACACACACACACACACACACACACACACGCATTCTCTCTTATCCTATCTAACGTTTCTTTGATGCTTTATGTCCAACAGTCTGTGCTGGTCAGTGTCCGCCACATTAACACTCAGAGACCTCGCAGAAGTTACTGAAACTGCCTCTGAGTCTATCTGACATGATCTCCAGCAGCTCAAACACTCCAATGGTGAATGGACAGACGGCTGCTTCTCACTCAGGGCTGCTGGACATGCTAATGGGATGGGCTGTTTCTCAATATGTGTCCTCGTGAAACGTCATCAGCCGTTGCTGAAGTGCTGTTCAATTCAGAGTTCACATCTTGCCGAGGACAGAGAGAGTTCCCGGATGTGTACTTGCTCCGCCCCTTTTGCCAAGGATGCTTCGAGAGGTGCGAACTTACAGCACAGGTATCCCAGCGAAAGGGAAACCCGCACGGTTTTAACAGTACTCCTCTGCTGTGTTGCAAATTAGAGTTTTTAAAGACCCCTATTTTATTTTAAAGAGCCCCTATTTTGGTTTTGGGGGTCTCCAGCAGCAGGCTGATCTGCGTCAAGGTCAAAAAAACACTGTCATGGTCTTATAATCTGCTTTTATTTTTGTCTAATTATCCCAGTGACTCCCATATCAACCGCACAGCGATTCATTTGTTCCCAAAACCTCCTTACCGCGAAACTAATCTGCAGTGATTGGTCGACAGCGTTCAGCGCGAGAGTGAACTGCCCAGCACGGCTTATCAACAATACTGGAGTAGTCAGAGTGCAGTGTGTGTGTGTGTGTGTGTGTGTGCCTGCCAACACTCCTGTTTTTCCCGGGAGTCTCCCGTATTTCAGACCTATCTCCCACCACCCTCCCGTTTTGTTATTTATCCCGAAAAACTCCCGTAATTACGTAGTTACGTCCCGCGTTATGTCTGTTTTGGTCTCTGTAACCCGCCCACTGCCAGTTTAGCCAATTATGATTCAGCAGCCTGGGTTGCCAGATGGTGGAAAACTATGGAGTTAGATTTGTTTCTTTATTATTTAATCAAAAATGTTGAGTTTTAAAGAAAAATTAAGCATGTAGTAATTAAAAATTTAAAGATTTCAGATAAAAAAAACATGCTAAATTTAAATATGTCAATGATAATAAAATATTTTGGATTGCAAAAAATAAATCAGAATTAATCTGGCGGTAACTGCATAAAATGGCAACAGTTTGTTTTTTGCAGTGTGAATTTTTTTAAATAAATGTTTTTTATTATTGGAAATCTTTTATTTTTTTAATTGTCAAAAACTTCATATGTTTGTTTGAATAATAAAGACACGAAATTAACCATTCACGAGTTCAAAACTTTTCAACTCACAAGCAAAACATTTCAACCTGCAAGCAAAGACTCTAGATGTGCAATAAAAGACAGCAGAAAAGAGAGCAAAATTAATGAGTGTGCGATGAAAATTGTGGTAACTGCATAACAGGACAACTGTTTATTTTTTGCAATCCAAAATATTTTATTTATTTATTTTTTTTAATCTTTTTATTTTTTAATTAATATATACATAATTTTTCTTTAAAACAAAATATTTTTGAATAATAAAGAAACAAAACTAACTCCATAGACAACAGTGTATTTCATTCATTCATTCAGTCATTCAGTCAGTCAGGAAGGCTCTCAGAGCATGCGTCTGTGTCTGAAATGCGCCCTCTGGTGGACAGTAGTAGACTCTGAAATGAGCTGCAGATTCAGAGTTCCACATGAGATTATTAATGAGCAAATAACATAAATATTAGGAGTGTAAACATTCGGTAAGCAGGTCACACTGTAACCCCGAGTCTACATGAGGAGATGCGCAGTGATCAGCAGACGAAACAGGACAGAAATGTAAACACAGCCATTCAGAATAGTGCACTCACTGCACACCAGCACAATGCGGAGCTCTATCATCTGATGAACATTACAGCTCTTGAACAGGATTAATGCAGATGCTGGATCACTGATGTGTGTTGGTTTGCTCTGAGTCTCAGTTCTGAAGTTCAGTTGCAGCTTTATTGTATTCTCCAGATCTGCTGCTGCTGTCAGTAGTGTGCATGTCATGTCAGACTCGCATTATTAGCGTTCAACACTGAATAAAACACAAGAGCTGATCGGTGTTCTGTTGTGAGAAACTGAAGCAAAAACTCATTTTAAGATGGGGAATACTCCCTCTATAGCATGCAGTTGCTGTTATTTAGATCTAAATCAGCCTTTAGGCTCGAGACTCGCTCCTGTTGCTGTCGTCAATCTGGCAACCTGCGCTTTGATCCAGGAGTGTAATACCTAGTTCAACCACTGGGTGTCAATCGTACACACTGCACCCTTAAACCCTGCGTAACAGTGGCCTATACTGAACAGGAGAGCTGTGTGTTCATGTGTGCAGATCCCTATATAGTGTGTACTGTATGGTGGAGCTGCGGATATTGACTCACAGCCGGTGGGCAGGCCTCCAGGTCTGTGGCTCCGTCTCCAATCATCAGGATGTTCTGGAAGCCGTGCTTCTCCTTCAGCATGCTGATCACTCGGCCCTTCCCTCCGCTCTGAGCCGTGGGCTGGGACTCATCGAAGCCGGCGTACTCTCCTGACACACACACACACACACACACACACACAGACACACACACACACACACAGTCAGACTCGAACCCTCCAGCACCACAGCAGCAGCGCTCAGAGCGGGTCTCACCATTGAAGTAGAACTTGAGCCTGTTGGCGTAGACGTGCTGCAGCGGGATGGAGAGCTGCGACGCCACGTGCTCCACGATACAGCGGAAACCCCCCGACACCAGGAACACCTGCACACCGCGCTGCTGCAGCTTCTGGACCAGCTCCCTATGTAGAGCACACTGCGTCAGCACACTGCATCTGTACTGCACTAAACAGTCACATACACTCACCGGCCACTTTATTAGGTACACTTTACTAGTACCGGGTTGGACCCTTTTGCCTTCAGAACTGCCTTAATCCTTCATGGCAGAGATTCAACAAGCTACTGGAAATGTTCCTCAGAGATTTTGCTCCATATTGTCATGATAGCATCACACAGTTGCTGCAGATTTGTCGGATGCACATCCATGATACCAATCTCCCGTTCCACCACATCCCAAAGCTGCTCTATTGGATTGAGCTCTGGTGACTGTGGAGGCCATTTGAGTACAGTGAACTCATCGTCATGTTCACCAGTCTGAGATGATTGAGCTTTATGACATGCTGCGTTATCCTGCTGGAAGTAGCCATCAGAAGATGGAGACACTGTGCTCATAAAGGGATGGACATGGTCAGCAGCAATACTCAGGTAGGCTGTGGCGTTGATGCTCAATTGGTACTAATGGACCCAAAGAAAATCTCCCCCACACCATTACACCACCACCACCGAGCATCCGAATGTGTCAGCAGAAATGGAGACTCATCAGAGCAGCAACGTTTCTCCAATCTTCTATTGTCCAGTTTTGGTGAGTCTGTGTGAATTGTAGCCTCAAGCAGGTCGCACACCAGAAGCGACGCTCGGCGGCGCGCCGCGCAGCGCCATGTATTTTAGAATTCTAATCATATGTTTCTATCAGGATACACACACCGGCGCCGCAAGTCGGCGGCTGTCGGCGGCGCCCGGCGACGGCTCAGGACGCAGTTCATTTTTCAGCCGCGCCACAGAGCGCCATCTGATTAGTTTCATGTTAAATATCATTCGAATGTGCGCGTCTGGTGTGCGATACTTTAATCTGTCATGTACGCGCCGTGTCGCGGCGCCGAGCGGCGCTTCTGGTGTGCGACCTGCTTCAGTTTCCTGTTCTTAGCTGACAGGAGCGGCACCCGGTGTGCTCTTCTGCTGCTGTAGCCCATCCGCCTCAAGGTTGGACGTGTTGTGTGTTCAGAGATGCTCTTCTGCAGAGCTCGGTTGTATCGAGTGCTTATTTGAGTTACTGTTGCCTTTCTATCAGCTGGAACCAGTCTGGCCATTCTCCTCTGACCTCTGACCTCATCATCAAGGCATTTGCGCCCACAGAACTGCCGCTCACTGGATATTTCCTCTTTGTCGGAGCATTCTCTGTAAAGCCTAGAGATGGTTGTGCGTGAAAATCCCAGTAGATCAGCAGTTTCTGAAATACTCAGAGCAGCCCGTCTGGCACCAACAACCATGCCACATTCAAAGTCACTTAAATCCCCTTTCTTCCCCATTCTGATGCTCGCTCTGACCCGCAGCAGATCCTCTTGATCATGTCTACATGCTGACAAGCATACCTAATAAAGTGGCCGGTCAGGTAACATAGATTTTGCATTGTACACAGTGTGTGTGTGTGTGTGTGTGTGTGTGTTGTAAATGAATGTGGGGTCAGACCTGATGCCGGGTGTCAGCTGAGGAGGGTTGTCTGTGATCAGCTTGCTGACTTGTTCCCTCGAGCACTCGATGATGGACAGACGCTCACTGAGTGCCGTCTGAAATGACATAGAGCCGCCCATCGCCTTACGGGTCCTGAAACACACACACACACACACTTACTCACTACTGCTGCTGGACAATGATAGACCAGGACTCCATTCTTTACATTCAGTCTGGCCATGAGGAGGTGTGCTTTTATCTGGTGGGTGTGTGTGTGTGTGTGTGTGTGTTGTCAAACTGAAGACGCTTGCTCTGTGTTAACACTGTATCCCTTCTAACTAAACAGTACAGAGCTGTATCCCCTCTAGACTTTACCTCCACGTCCTGACAAGTGAAGCGATAACCCCGCCCTCAACAAGTTAATGAGTAGCACGTGAGCCAATCAAATCACAGTCCGCCTAAACTTTCCTGTGACTTCACTTTTCTACAACGAAAACAAGTAGCGAGGCGCTAATCACGCGCTTCACCGTAAATGAGTGTGTGTGTGTGTGTGTTACTAACATCTCCGTGACCGCGTCCCCGACTCCGCAGAATTTGGCGAGCTCGTCGATGCCCTCCTCCCGGATCACGGTGCTGTCCACATCAAAGCACACCGCGTCCGCCCGCCGCAGCAGATCCCGGGTCTGAGCCTCGGTCAGCATCGAAAGCCTGCAAACACACACACACACACACACACACACACACACACACACACACACACCGGAGAGCATCAGACAGACACGCAGACTGGAGAGCGCACTCGTCCGGACACCGCCGTCAGCTCGGTGAGCCTTCAGACGGTGAACGGTGATATTTAACGGTGTGTTCAGTGCTGCGGGAACTCACCTGAATGCTGGAGTGTGTGTTCGGTTCAAAACCGGCGAGCGAGTCCTCACCGAACCCCGCTGAACGCTGCACTCAGCTGACACTCACCGGCAGCCAATCACAGCGCTCCGCTCACAGACACGCTCAGCTCTGATTGGCCAGAGCCCCCCCGTGAATGACGACACAGGAAACACCGGTTGCTCAGTATATAACGTTACTGCACTGCTGAGGCGATTAATCTGCAGTTCGGTATTGAGAACACGCACTGAGCGGGACGACGAGGAGATGAGAGATTATAACGGCAGAAGCGGAGGAAGTTTGATCAGTCGCTGTGTAGAGACACACACACTAACAGTCCAGCGCTCCGGCTGATTTATGAGCCTGTTCACCCGCGGAGAACTCCTCAGTTCTGGTCGCCACGGTGACACAAGTCCCCATGAGTCTGTGTGCGTTCAGGTTCAAGTCCCCATAAGGATATAAAACATGACCTCACACACAGAGAGACTCCCTGGAGCCGGAGAGGAACCGAACACACACACAAAGAGAAGGAATGAGGCTCTTTATTTCTCTCGCTCTCACACACACTAAAGGAATGAGGCTCGCCCTCTCTCACACACACACACACACACACACACACACACAAAGGGAAGGAATGAGGCTCGCACGCACGCACGCACATAAAGAATGAGGCTGTGTCTCTCTCTCACGCACTGCTGTGGTTTGGTAATCAGGTGTGCATGAGCATGTTGATGTGCAGGTGCTGTATATAGTGATGAAAGGGCAGACTCTTAACAAAATAAACAGTTTAATATAATTCCCGACCGCATAGATAAAATATACGTGTTTAATAAACTCCAATGTAGAACACAGACAGTAAACAGTAGATGGAGAGTTCATGAGTTCCAGAGCTTCTCCCGGCTCAAGCTGGTGTCCCTCCGTCCATCAGTCCCTCAGTAATGTGAAGCACGTCTGACAATCACAAATCAACCAATGAGCACATGAGAGACTGACCCTGCTGTAATCAGAGGTGGACAGATCTGATGCGCTCAGCTGATCAGCTCTTGGGTCTGGCCCTCAGGTTCTCCAGGGTCTTCTGTAGGGGAGAGAGAGAGCAGTGAGAAGCTCCAATAGAGGATACACTGAAGACTGAACACCACTCATCTGCTGCTCTGAGCACACGCACACACCACAGTAGAACAGAACACATAGAGAGTGTATGTCTGAGTGGAAGTGTGTGTGTGTGTATAAGAGTAGGCGTGTGTCTATGTGAGTGTCTGTGTAAGAGTTAGTGTGTGTGTATGTGTGTGTGTGTGTGTGTATATAAGTGTAAGATTGTGTCTGTGTGTGTGTCTGACCCTGTGGAAGTCTCTGGCTCTCTCTCTGTTGTTGGCGTTTGACTGCTGGCGGATCTGCATCTGCTTCCTCTGCTTCACCTCCTCCAGCTGACTGTACAACCTGACACACACACACACAAACACACACACACACACACACACACACACACGTTTGTTTTTGTGAAAAGTGGGGACATTACATAGGTTTCCATTCATTTTATCCTGTATAAACTGTATATTGTATTGCCCTCACCCCACACCTAAACCCAACCATCACAGGAGACTGAGCAGCTTTACTCTGATTAAACTCATCCTGTGGGATTCAGAAGCTTTTGGAGAAATGAGGACATCACCAATGTCCTCGTATTGCACCTGCTTTTTGTAATACCTGTGTCATACCCATGTCATTATACACATCTGTGTCCTGATATGTCACAAAAACACGTACACACACACACACACACACACACACATACACACAAAGATACCAACATGGACTTCTTAGATACAAACACAAGCTTAGAAAAGGCACTGAGCTGCTTTAGTGTAAGTGCTGTATGATAATAGACATGGCACTAATATTACTGATGGTGTGTGTGTGTGTGTGTGTGTGTGTGTGTGTGTGTGTGTGTGTGTGTGTGTGTGCTAGTTTAGTTTTAAATATGAGAAAGAGCCACTAGTGTTGGGTTAGGCCACAGACATCATTAAGCTGACAGGAACCACACAAGTCTGTGTAATGTGCTCACTCAGATAGGGAAAACCGTGTGTGTGTGTGTGTGTGTGTGTGTGTGTGTGTGTGTGTGTGTGTGTGTGTGTGTGTGTGTGTGTGTGTGTGTACCTGTGAGTGCGCTGCAGCATCTCTGCCTCCTGCTGC